TAATGAGGGAGAGTCTTGCCTCGGCTGTGTGTGTTTTTTTCATCGTCATCCTGTATTTGTATTTGGATATCTTTTCTCTTTTCTCCTGTCGTTGTTTCTAGGTCTGCAAGCGTTGTCATTTTCGGTATCTCAAACCGTCTTGTTATCACGAACCGCCTCAATAGCAGCATTGTTTTCTGTTTGTGTCCTTTATTCGAATGGTTTCCGTCCCAGTGCTGTTTCGTCGATTGCCCTCGCCTGCTGATATCAATATCGTGTATATGTCATGTCTGTATTTTATTTCAGAAGAGATTTAGACCAGGATTGTCCAAGGAGAATGGGGAAGAAGAGACGTAGAGAAGAGGAGACGTGAATGCAAGAACGAGGTCTAGGTTTGGATTCAATGAATGTTCCCATATCGGAGAAAATAAAATTGAAAGGAAGACACAAAGAGCATGCTCGTGCTCCGCAATGTGGCGAGGGGCCGTCGGCTAGCCGGTGGTGCCGTGTATTGAAATTGACTTCTCGCTAGACGTCGCCCTGTGTAAGACCATGTTCGTAAGACTCGCGCCTTCGCCTTTACAACGCCAGCGCGGTGGAGTGCATGCAAAATAGACAGAGCTTGGAAACGTGTTGGACGCAGCTACCTCTTTCTCACATCGCCGTAACTTGCATGTTTCCTTTCCCCGAGCGATCCGGTCCGCGGATGCGAGAACGACGCGAGACGATGTAGGCCCGTCGTTGTAGACTGACCAGCAGGCCTGTCTATTTCATACTAAAGACGAGGAGAAGGGCCATTGTACGTGATGACTGGCCCGTCGAAGAGAGACTGCGATCCGTTCCAGCCAGCAAATAGCGACATCGGTGTGGGTGTAATGTTTGCTGGTTTGGTGGAACTGCTTTTGTGCACTGGGAACGCAGTCTGGCGTCCACTGTCCGCGGACAACCTTCCCCTTGTTCTTGTTTCCTGTTTCCCGTCATTCTGACGCACTACTCTTTGGTATCTCGGCAGCTGTTGCTCTCTCACAGGTGAAAAGAGTGGGCCTCCGAGTTCTGTCAACCGGCAGGTGCATACGCCAAGTCTAGCCTGCCGTTCTGGCACCGCGCCGGAACCGGAAGGTGCAGGAGGGGCTGCCCGAGTGCGGCCCGAGTTCTGACAACTTAGTCCTAACTGCATAACCCCCTTGCTGTGATTTGTAGGTTTGATTCCGAGGAGACATCAGATGTTACGCAGTACCTCTTTCGTACCAGAGATGGTCGGCTTACATCGAAAAATGCTCCATCGGTTCGGCAGTACGGCAACTGAATATGCCATTAAGGCATTTGACAGAACCTTGGTATGGAACGACTTTCTAGTTCCGTCTTCTTTCGTGACAAACCCTTTCTTGATAGGCAGCTGGGTTTACTAATGTCAAGGGGTGAAGATATATTTGTGTTTTTCCTCTGTTCATTGGACTGGAAGGTTTAACCGCTTGACCAACGTGGACCGGTGGCTGGTAGAGCCATAGTTTTGAAACTGGTTATTTTTTGTTCTTGTTCGTTTCGGAGATCGTCCATGCGTTCGATTGGTGTTTGACCTGCTTTGGCCTACCAGTTTCCCCACGACGGTCTCACACAGTATGTCTCGTGTACCACGACTGCTCTTGCGCAGAGCCATGCAGCCGTATCTATTTGCATCGACATTGTAGTCTGTGTACTGGCAAGCTTCTCGATGGAGCATTGTCTGCTTTATTTTTGGAATTGCACGGGATTGTGTTGTAGTGCAGAATGGTGCACAGCGGCAATTCCGCACGTGCAGCATTTCAAGCGCTTAGCAAGAGCGGCATATGAGCACAGAGCGGCAATAGTGAGCATCAATCCTTTTCTCGTTTGTCAACTCCGTCCTCTGCATTCTCTTCCCGTCCCTCGTCGATCATCCGCCAATTTTCACCATGTCACCATTTTCTGTGACGGACAAAAAAAAAAAAAAAAACACTCCAGCTGGACGAGAATCAGGGCGTCGTGTGACTGGAAAACCCCAAGACCAACGACATCATTCTCTATCTCACCTCCGCACTTAAAGTTCATTTAACTCCAACCCAATGAGATCCCAGCTAAAGTTTACTTTGTTTTATGGCTTTTGTCGTTCCCCCCTTTATCATAATCAACCAGTAGCACGATCATATTGCCGTCATCAGCAGCTTTGCATTTTATTATTATTTTCACATCATTCCTTTCATCCCGACTCGCATGATAACGATGGCTTTGAGACTTTGGCGTATTTTTCTACGGAGTTCGACTGCACGGTATTCTTATTGTTACTTTTTGCGGTCCTCCCTAGTCGAACAGACGAGGCTATGTCTCAGGCCCATTTGAAAACGACAGACCCTCCTCCGTCTTCGAAACTCGAACCCCTGTCTGCCCTACCGTCTCTCCACAAAATCCCTGCCCCCACTACCGGGCCACAGTCCTCCCCAGCCCAGCCTGTGCATAAACTCGCACCCCTCCTGAAAATCCCCTGACTTATTTTAAAAATAGGAGCGTAGCCAATAACTGACGCGCAGGCAGGAAAAGGACGACTGGTAATACAGAGTACAAACAAAATAAGTCACTGGCCACGCTAGTGTTGCTGCAGAATTGGCATTGCAAAGAAGGGCCATTCGCGCGAGGAGACTTGATTGACGAACTTGAGAAAAAAAAAAAAAGAAAAAAGAAAAAAAAGAGAGAGAGAGAGAGAGAGAGAAATAATATCAGCTTCTGCCTCGGCCGGGAATCGAACCCGGGACCAGTGGAAATGGCAACGAGCCGGGAGGCATGTCATGTGCCAAGTCGAGTCTGTCCGGCCAAGGGTAGTAGTCGACGGAAAACTGGAGTGATGACCGCGAGCAGGAAACTGGAATACGAAGCGCAGCCTCTTTTGTATCAACTATTTTATTGGATATTAACGGTCATAAAATTAAAAAAAATTAATAAATATACCTGTTAAAAAATCTTGGTCGCGTGTGCCATTAATACGGGAGTCGTCCGGTACGTGATATCGACGGTTTCCATTCTGGTCCGAGAGGGCTGCTACTGCCCGGATGCCGGCCGGGTAGTTTGTATATTATCACTAATGTCCTGCCAATGCCGGCACCACCAGAGCTGCCTCTGCCGTCTCTGCCAGGATCGTCTGTCGTTGTTGCCTCGCCACACCTAGCAATATCATTGACAGAAAGAACGGGAGCCTGTGCTTCCCCCAACAAGCACCCGTTCAAAACAGAAAGGTAAAACATAAGCAAGGAGATGGTGCTTGGTTGAGTTGCAGTTCCTTCCACAAACACTTGTCAGATGCAAGTAGAAGGAGCACCGTGGCCCTTTGTATGATCGCAGCTTCCTAGTTGTAAAATAGCCAAGTTAGAGCGGCTTGTTTCCGGCCATGCTTGGCTCCTTCCTTCATGAAGCACTTGCCTGGAACAGAAAGAAGGGAAACCATGATTCGTAGCTCCTTCCACCATCGTGCACTCGCCAACTGCAAGTGGAAGGGACTGGATGGCGCATTCATTGTTATGATCGCAACTTCCCGTCGTACGGTTGACAGATGACGCGAGCTGAGTTCTATCATAACAACAAGACTCTCTTTTCTGTCCTCTCCTCTCTGTCCTCTCCTCTCCGTCCTCTCTTCTCTGTCACTCTTTTAGGATGCCACTTGGTACTGTCGTACACTTTTCAGCCTTCTTCCCTTGTGAATCAATCTCGACTACCAGCAACCATCCGACACCAAGACTGGTTGTAGCGCCGGCTCACCAAACGGCCTCGCATTTTGGCTGTGATAGAGAGCAGTTCTCGACACACGGCTGCAAGCACCATAACTGCCAACCGAGCAACTCCGAAACTGACCACTGGGCCGTACCGAACCGTTTCTCGTTCGCTTTTCTTTTTTTTTTTTGCTTCAGTTGTTTGCTGCCACGCAAAAAGTGGCAGCTCATCATTAGCAGTGATAGCCCCCGATCCTAGTGATTTCGATCAATCAAAAGGTGCGTCCCTCCAAGGATACATAAATTCTAAACCCATCTGAGCAAATGCTGTGAAGACAAATTTTAGTCGTTGAGGGGGGACGCACCGGCAATTTGCTGATAAAGGTCCTGGGTCTTGATATTTATATACTTGCGAATTCCCATTTGCCACCAACACCGGTGGCTGTGCATCGCTTCCGTCCCGCTGACCGACTGCAATTCGCGGCGATCATCCGCCCTACGCACTTTGCGCTACAACCACTAAGCACGCAAGAGGGCTAGTCTGTTGACTTGATGACTTTCTGCGAGAGGTTTGTTACTACAGCCACACAAAACAAATTGTGTTCAGATGGCATAAACCGAACGGAATCAGCTGAATGAACAAAAGAATATGAGACGATAAAAATGCACGCTTGTCGCTAGAGTCAGACAGGCCGACTGCACGTCTACGATGTACGTCTGTGCGGCTCCCATGTCGTTGCATGTGCGTCCTAACCAGCCCTCTTTCTTTTTCTTTTTGCCCCTGTTCTATGTTTTCTTTTTTCCACCCCTTATTATTCTGCGCCCTTTTATGTCGTCAATACTATTCCTCCCCCATATCAGACGACACGCCCGAAGCAGTAAACACACACCTCCACTTGCCCCCTCTCAGTTCCTGTGCATGCATAATTGTGCATCCTTGCACGATCACCCAAACTGGACCAGGGTCGGTATGTAAAACAGATCCTCCCCGCCTCCCCTTTGCCCACTCATCACTCGTCATTCGTACAAGGCCGCCGCCCGTCATCCTTCGTCCTCCGTCGCTGAGCCTCATCTCTCTCTTATTCCTCTCTCATAAGACTTTTGTTTCCGTTTCCTGGTTCTTTTGCCGATTCTTGTTTCTCGTTGAGCCAAATCCAGCAACAGCATATGATAATCTTCAACTACTGTACCACTCAGTTCATCTAGTCGTTGTCTCTCCGCGCCTGTCACAAATGACTCGACTGCACTCGACATAACAAAACCCAACACGTGCTCTTCCTCTTCAGGGCACATCGCCTCCTCGCCGTGATGGAGATTGTCATCCCGCCCCGCGACCACGGCACCCAGGCCGACAAATATGCCTGGGACGACAACGGCGAGGTGACTCAGATCCGGAGGTGAGTCCAGGTCCTCTGTCCCCCCTCTGTCTCCTCTCTCTTTCTCTCTCTATTTTTCTTCGTATTTGGAATCACTGGCTCACCTACCAGAATCGGCTCACGCCCACAACCACGAAAAAAGCCGCGCCTTGCCCGCCAGACCGTCCAGTGGCCTTTCCAGAGCGTCTCTCTCGAAGACAACACATATGCTCTGCCACCCGTTCCACAATCTCCCTCTTCCACCATCGTCTCCAGTCCAGAAGAGGTCCATCTTCCGCCCAACTACCGCGCCACGTGGCAGCCTCGGAGAGGCGCCGTCAGGGGATATGGAGCCGAGTACATCAGCAGAGACGACGACGACGATGACGACAACAAGTCAACTCTCCGCCGCTCGCTGATCCCCGACTATGTCATCAACTACCTGCGTGGCGAGACCCCCGAGACGGTGGCACAGCGCAAAATGGAACGACAGCGAGCAGAAGAAGCCCTGTCGCAGGAGAACCTCGTCAGCAGCAGCACCGATCACGACGGCCGTCTTGGCCTCCGCGGTGGAGGTGACGGACAACCGCTGCCGAGCCCAGACTACCGGCGATCGGACGAGCCGATATGGCGACGCACCAACTCCGACTACTACAACAACAACAGCAACGAAAAGCGTCGCAGCTCTGGTCCGATGGGGCAGAGGAGGTGGCCAGCACGGCGGCGCCGCTTCGTGGGGCACGGCTGGAAGGCGGGCGTGGCTCTCCACGGCACAATGATTATCATAATCTCCGTGGTTGCTCTCGTCGGTCTCGTCGTAGCACGGACGGTGCTGCACCGTGGCGGCAAGTCGAACGCTTTGGCCACTCTTTATACGAGCCGTGCCGTGCCCATCATGGACACGCGTGGCACCTCGTGTGCAGGTGCCCACCCCGTGGCATGGCTGCTCCGGGCTGTTTTGGCCTTGTTCTCGGTGGCCCTACTGGCTGGCGCGCAGTACGTCTTCCACATTCTCAGCAGCCCGACGCGTGCCGAGCTCGACGCGGCCCACGCCACGCGGCGATGGCTCGATATCGGGGTGCCGTCGCTGCGCAATATCGCATTTCTTCTCGGACTGCGCAAGGCCCGTGCCGTGTTGGCCCTGGTCGTGGTAGCTGTGGCAATGGCATCGACAGTTCTGTATGGCGCATTGGTCAACGTTGTCCTTGTCGCTCCGCAGTCATCGATGGCGGTGCCTTCATACAACGTGCTGCTCGTGACGCCGTCGTTCTTGGATGGTGATCCGTTTAGCAACGCCTCGTCCAGCAACGCGGGCGGTCTGGACCGGGTTACCATCCTGCAGCTGCAGCAGTTGGCGTCAAATACAAAACAGCCAACGCTGACAAACCTCACGGCAGGAGAGTGCCTGGAGTCGCCGTCGTCAGCATCGACCATGTCCATGGTGCAGGCGGGTTTGTCTCTGTTTGACATTAATGATGTCGAAAGTGACAGCGCTGCCACATCCATCAGCACCACCAACTTCAGCGCAGTCTTGATCGTACTCACCGATGCAACCGTGGATGGCATTCAAGCAACAAACAGTTCCGTCGTTGAAACGGCACCGGCCGGGTCGGTGCTTCTGGCCGCCGACGAGAGATTGGGAAGCAGCAGCAGCAGCAGTTCGTCCGTGTTTCAGATTACAACCGGCGACAGCGAGAGCAGTGACCGGTCGTCATTTATCATTAACGAGAACACGGTTGCTTTTTGTCTGGTTCAGGAGGCTGTCACAACGGCTGCAGCGGCCCAGTCTGCCAGCAACACGGACGACGCTGCGACGACCATGTGCATTGTCACCCTCAACACGTCTCTTCTGAGTGCCGTTGTTGGCCTTAATATGGTGACCGCCTTGTGCTTTGCATACATGCTGCTCCCACGCAAGGCCCACCGCCACTTCCGACACGCGCCGCTCATCACACTCGGCGACGCTGTGGCCTCGTTTTTGCGCGACCCAGACCCGACGACGAGGGGCGCCTGTCTTCTCAGCAAAGCAGACGTGGTGCGGCACGGCGTCTGGAAGAGCATGGTCGACATGCCTCGTCTGCCCCAGTTTGGTCCGCCACGGACTCGGGTTTCAACTGAAACCAACGGCTCCGGTCAGTCCGCCCAACAGCCGGAGAATATTATGCAGCCCATGTTCTTGGAGGCCCCGGCGAGTGATGGCGAAGGTAGCAGCAACAAGAACAACTACTTTTGGTTCCAGTCGGTCTCCCTCGTGCAGTGGTTCGTGGGTGCTGTCGTCTGGTGGACCGTTGTCGGCCTCGCTCTGGCTGCCCTAGTGGTTGTCGTGTCGAGGAACAACCGCCTCGGCACCTTTGGCCAGATTTCACCGTTGTCGAGCGCCGTGTTCGGGTCGTTGGCATCGTCGTCGTCCACCTCGTGGATGACATCTGTGGCCCTTTTGGGCAGTCTACCGTATCTGGGCGTCGCCGTCCTCTACTTCGTCGTCGATACGCATGTCTCGGGTTACTTCTTGTCGCACGAGTTTGCGCAATACATTGCCACCCACCAGCACCAGCGCAACGACCAGCTCCAGCAGCACGGACGCCACCCGCTGCGCGTATCCTACCGCCCGCGGGGCCACCAGACCACATCACTGTACCTCACGCTGCCGCAGCCGTGGCACTGGACGCTGCTGACGCTGGTGGCGGGCATCGTCTTTGCCCTCGGCCAAAGTGTCGTCGTCACGGGTGTGGAGGCCGTGGAGGCCATCACTTCTGGCAACGACAACGATTCCAGCTCGACACGTCTCGCCCTCCTTGGCTTCAGCGGTATTGGCTTGGTCGTCATCTTGGTCCTTCTGGTTGGCCTTGCTTTTATGGTGGTCGTTCTTGGTGCACGCCGTACACCGCCGCCCAACGCCTCGCTCGGCGGCAACCCACTGACCCTGTCGGGAGGCTCGTGCAGTGCGGTCATCAGTGCACGCTGCCACCCGACACCCGAGGAGATGCCGACCGAGATGACGAGACGAAACGGCAGCAACGGCGGGCCCTTGCCGCTGTGGCTGCGACCGCTTGCATGGGGTCCTGTACCGGCGTACCACCACCCTTACCAGGGATACAACCGACGGCGTGGCCTGACGCGGGAGGGTCTGTTGAGCGATGGAACCCTGCAAGGCCAGGTGGAAGACGACAACATCGACAGCATTGTCGGGCACTGCACGTTTTCGAGTGGGCCGCTAATGCCCCTGGATGCCGCACGGAGCTATGCGTGACGTGTGCACGAGGCAGTAGGTGATGATGCCTTTGCTGTGGAGAGAAGATTCGGTGACGACAGTAACGCAGCGAAAGAAACAATTGGTGCCGTGTCTGGGGTCTGCCCCTGAATAATGAAGGGGTTAATTGGGAAGGACCCTTGGAAAGGAAAGAGGGATCGGAAAGCATCTGGCAAAGGAAGGAACCATCATCGGCGTACGATGCGGAAGGAACGGCTGGTGCCAGCTGGCGTCATATACCCAAAGAACGAGTGCATGGACTGTATTCGTGTCTTTTGTCTTTTGCTTTATTACTCCATGTTTCAAGTCACATTTTTGACGTGGAAAGTGGTTGTTATAAAAATATTAAACGAAAAGGCGTCTGAATCAATTGAAAGTAATGTTCCGTGAAGCATAGATACTGCTGCACCATCATAAATTCAAGTGCAATTTGTTATATGATATATGTATTAAATTCAATTGACTTATCGCTGTACAGTTATGCTGCCATGAAAACCGTTCATCGATCAAATTGTGCATGGAAAAACAACGCAGGCAGCCACATCAATGATCGATTATCCGTTTCAGAGCACGAAAAGCCAAATCCGTCTCGAACTACTCCCTAGGAACAATATATTTTAGCTCCTACCATCACATTCGTTTGGCACATTTCAGACTTGTTACTCTCTCCTGTGCAGAGTCCCCATTCCCCCAACCACCCCCGTTCTGAGTACCATTGCCTCTCCTCCTTGTTGTCGATGCTGCCCTGTTGGTCCAGCTGGCATCGTTGAAACCTTTTGCTTCGCGATTTCTCGAGAGCCAGGTTTATCGCTGGTCAGGAACCGCGGCTTAGTGACGATGCTCTGGAAGTACAGCCTAGGATTTGCCCTTCATTTTGATTGCAAGGGATGTCGTTACTTTCAAATGTCTTTTTTGTCATCCAGCCACCCGGAATGGTTAGTCTTTGTCGGACGGTCAAGATGTGCCTGACCAGGACGAGACCAAAACACTAGAGGTCAAAAGCTGGAGACTGAACGTGGAAACGCAACCGGTCTGGCCATCAAATTGATCAGACGAGGATCATACAATGTGATGGAGTTTTGTGAACGCCGCACAGTTGCAGTCAAGATTAGACGGAGATGGCCGCGTAGTTCGTGATACCCCTCGAAAAACGTCACCCTTTGCGCCTCGACCTGTTGATTCTGGACTCATACGCGCCCCTAGCACTTAGGCTTTTTTCTATACGAAGTCGATGGGAAGTCGGGAGATATCTCTCCCGACCTTAGATAATAAACATACGAGATGCGTGTCCGAGGAACGAATCAGATTTCGCTTCTTCTCTCTCTTTTGTCTTACAATATTTGCCTCGGTTGAGAGGACCCTGACGGGGCGGACGAGACTCACCCATCAATCAACCCTATCTGCCCACATGGCCGGCGCCACTTCCGAGATATTTTTCTATCCGAAAAGAGGCATCAGACCGAATGAGGCGGACTCCAGTCGTCCGTTCTCTGACTTTAGGTACCATGACGTTGGATGGCATGTTTCGACGTACTGTTACCACTATATCGGAGTCCTATAAGTTCCACAGCCTCCGGATGTCGGTGTCTTGGCGTGGTCCGACTTTAATGATATTTCTTGTATCACGATCGTGCGATTTGTTTATCCTTTCTTTGTCTCATTCTGTCATTCTCTCAGGCTTCCCGTACTTCTTAGTTTTCTCACATTCCATCTGGAGCAATGCATCTCTCTATGAACAAAACATAACATGACGCAACATTCGTTCATCTTTGGCAAACGTTTTATTCCAATTGATCTCGTCACTTTTCTGTGATTAAAAGGCGAGAACTTGAATTTTCTTACATTGCATCTTGCGTACCCGCACCGTGCCGGTCGACTTGGCTTTTTTTTTTTTTTTTTTTTTTTTTTTTTTGCGAGTTATTGCCTTCAAAGATTTTGTGACCCAGCCATGAGCCACGAATATTCTGCTAGCCAACGGTCGTGAAATATGTCAATTGCCACTGAGGGTTAGCCACTCTGCGGGTTTCAAAAACCGGATACGTGAACGTCAAAAATACCAAATGCCGGGAGACGTGACGTGTTGGCGGCGTTCTGGTCTAGGTTTGCCAGGACCGTCGGGACTGTCTGATCATTAGACTTTTGAGAAGGTTCTTTTTTTGTTGCCTTCCAAGCTTGTATTTATGGATTCTATGTTTTAATTAATATTTTGCATCTCCGGGACGACCCTCGGCACGTGACTAAGTGGAACTCGTAGACGAGCATCTATTTACACGAGAATATAGTCCTCAAACGGATGACTGCAGCGCCACGTGTTCGGTGTTGCACGTTGGTGACACGCGTTTGAATGATGTTGCTTTTAACAATATCCATTAGAGGCTGACAATATCCGACCACTTGGAAGAGTAAAAGTTTATGAGAGCCAGTTGCCTCGAGTGCATAGGATGGCGACATCGGTGTAAGTTGCCGACGGTCAACAAAGATGTGACATATATACACATAAACTAGAAAATTTCACGATGGCAACCTCCCATTCCCCGGCAAAGACCCTGTCGCCGAGAAGGAGTATGTATGTCAACGACGGGGCTGTCCGCGAAGAGATGACGAGACCATGAGGCCACTTGGTTTGTCCATTGTATTTACCTTCCATTACCGTCATGGCCCCGACGTTTGTGCCTTCATTCTTGGCTGAAAGAAACGACGGAAACTACCTAAACAAGGCAACAAGCTCCGGTTTTTACTCCCCGTTACGATAGAGCAGCTCCGGACGGACTAACCCTCGGAAGGTCATAGGAATTCCGGCCAAGCCGGGCTGTTTAGCTCTAAACCCATTTTTTGTTTCACTTGTTCAATTGAACCCTCTTCCTGTACCAGCGGAGCACACACAATATACGCCCCATCAGGGCCCCTATTTTTCTCTCGGGGTTTCCAACTTAAGGAGGTAGCGCCTTGGGGCTCCGCCGCCTGAAATGGGGGACCAAGACCCAATGGATGCACAAACGACATCCGGTTGTGGGCCTCTCCGAGCTCCCGTTCTTGGACTGGACAAAAGGGGCAAACGAGAAACAAAATATCCCAGACTATCTGCAATGGCAAGCTTGTAGCGGAAAAAGCCAATACATCCACTTCTGTCGTCACTGCTGTAGTCAAGAAACAGAATCGTACGAGCGGGATAGTATGGTTGCCAAGACCTGAAGAAGCGGAGAAAGGCCAATCAATGGACCATTAACATATTCAACAAAGACTCGCAAAAAGTGTGGCTTGTGACTATTGATGGCTGCTGGCGACTTCTGAAGGCTATTGGTGGCTTGCTGGAGAGAAGGAGGGTGCAAAGAGGGAATGCGGGTAAGCAAGAGGTGAGAAGAAGAAAAGAGGTGAAAGAGAAGAGGAGAAAAGGAGAAGAGGAGAAGAGGGGAAGCGGCAAGGATCCGGCAAGAAGGGGACCATGGGAAGCGAATGAGAAGCGAAAAGGAAAGTAAAGGGAGCCAAGTCCAACGGAAGGAAAAGCAGCCGCACCGGCGTGAGGATCCGCGCCTGGGTCCGGTGGAGACCGGCGCCCGCGGCGCCCGCAATTAGCGAACACTGGCCGCGACATAATGGCAGGTGCAGTGCAGGTGCAGTGCAGTTGCAGTGCATTTGCAGTGCATTTGCATTGTGTCTTCCCTTTGTACCCCCTTTAGCGTGGTACATCCGACTGTCTAGCGCGGCATCGTGTCCTTGAGAAGTTTTAGGCGATTCTAATGAGCTCCTTGGCGGCGCTGAAATTGTGTGACGAGTTGGGGAGTCGAGGTTAAGAGAGTCTCAGCATCTGAGAATCAATACCTCTAGGCTTTCATTCTACAGTTTCACAATGCTGAAGTCAACACTTTGGAATTCTAATAAGAAAGCACCCCAATAATTATGCTACCTCTCATCCCTGGGCATTGATTGCACAGTTTATAGTCTTTTCACAACAGCATATGTCGATTTTACTTTTCGTATCCAAGCAAGTTTTCGGTTAATGCCCAGAGCTTTGCATGTGGAAATACAGCTCATACAACTGGCAGAACAGCACAAAGTAGAGAAAGACGAGACACCCAGACGGACTCTAAATGCAAATCTGAACCTTTATCCACAGCCACGAAGAACGAACCGCGAATCACTCTCACGACATTTAGCTTTCCCCCATCCTGTTCCTTTTCGTCGCTCTTTGCACCCCCCTCTCCACAGTGGCGGCCATTCTTTAGGAGGCTCTTTGAACAGCACTCTGATTGCCATTGTTTTGTCCTATCCGTCTTCTCGCTCTTCCTCGTGACGGTGGCTAGTGAATATCGCAACCACTAACTATCCCTTTGGTGTTAGCCCCAGCGACTTAGCGGCTTGCTGCGCACCCTCTTCTGCGCTTCCTCTCTGCTCCCTTGTCTATTTGTCTCTGTTCCTCTCTCGTACTTTCCAGTCTACCTGATATTAGCATCGACAGACTATCATATTGAGTAGAAAAGGCGTAAAAAGGTCGAGAATGATGCCCTAGTGACAGGTACGACTGCTAAAGCCCCTCTGTGTCCCAGTAGCACTTCGAATACTGTTCAACTCTTTGGCATCGCATTCGTAGCGGCTTGTGGCTGATTTTGGTGAATACCACACGCAAAGTCCAGGCCGGTCCCAGGTCTTAAGACTGTGTGCAGTTGGCGAGTTACCCTGTTGGGTGTTGTTAGTCGCTCAGACACACGTGATTGGACGAACCATTCTCCTGGGTGGGCTGAAAAGGCCTGTGCGAAGAAATCGGAAGGAGCACTGTGCGTCCCGAGCGAGCGCCTGCGTCCGTGCTTTTCACCCCCTGCACCTTCCCGCGTTCCCCGCCAAGAAACTGCCGAGTCCACTCTGCAGGGACCACCTTAAAATACAGCACTCAACCGAATTGGCCACAGTGATCTCAGAGACAATTTTCTGCCTGTTTATATTTCTTCACATCCCGAAAACGTCAGAGACAGGACCAAACGACCCACAGAGCTCGGGTATGACGT